TGAATTTCTGATATATTCCACAATAAAAAAAAGCAGATAAAAAATAAACTTTTTTTCCTAAGCATATGTTTGTCTACTGAATAATCCAACACTTGTCTCATCTCTGTTCTCCATCCCTGCCCTGACTAGTTTAGGTGCTTTTGTCCTCTCCCTTTAGCTACTCCTCTTACAACTACTCCTTTAAATGGCTAGTTGTTCCACATTCTGTCATCAGATTAATCCTACCAAAAAGCAATTTTGATTTTTGAGCCAGTGCACAGCACACTTTGATGGGGGCCAAGGGAATAGCCTCCCCCACCCCTCACCCCACTGGATGACTTTTAAATCTCTTCTTCCTTAGTTTCTTAGCCCCCGGCTTTGATTACTCTTCTAATCAGTTTCCGAACCCTAGACTAAAGATTGCCCCTAGACTGAATCACAGAATATCTCTCACCTACCCCGGCTTTAGATAACTACTTAAAACTTGTGACTTCCCAACATTCCCAAGGCTATTTGGTATCAGAGGGATTATTCATTATGAATTTGTACCAACTGGACAAAGAGTTAACCAAGTTTAGTATTTGGAATTGCTGAAAAGGCTGTGTGAAAAAGTTAGACGAACAAAACTTTTCACCAAAAATTCATGGCTCTTGAATCATGACAAGGCACCAGCTTACACGGCACTGTCTGTGAGGGAGTTTTTAGCCTTTAAATGAATACCTGTATTGGAACACCCTCCCTGCTCACCTGTTCTAGCCACCAATGACTTCTTTCTTTACCTGAAGATAAAGGAAATAGTGAAAGGAAGACATTTTGATGACATTCAGGACATCAAGGGTAATACGATGAGAGCCGAAGGCCATTCCAGAAAAAGAGTTCCAAAATTGCTTTGAAGGGTGGACTAGGTGCTGGCATCAGTGCATAGCTTCCCAAGGGGAGTACTTTGAAGGTGATCATAGTGATATTCAGCGATGAGGTATGTAGCACTTTTTCGTGAACTTAATTGTCCAACCTTAATATTTAAAAGGGATAATTCTCCTGCAAAACTCCCTTTTTGGAAAACAACTGAATGCTGTATAAGGATATGGCATAAAAAGCTTCTGTGTGAGTGGAGGACTTGAGAAAGAGAGAGCAAGAGAGAGAGAAAAAAGGATACCTATGAAGTTATGTGCTGTGGAATTCAGAAAAGCCTCTTTCATACTATTCAGTGATAAAAAGGAATGAGTTATGTGGACAAAAAAGGGGCTATATACTAAACCTGACAAGCTCAGGAGAAGCCAGCATGGCAGACCCTACAAACTCAGAAACCAAAATTAACCACATAGGATGGTCTAAACATAAAAATTCCTAACTAAAAACGGGTCATGGTGGGCAGTCTCATCTTTGGCCTGTAGCTTTCTTGACAAAGGTCAATCTTTACCTATTATCTTTTTGTGCGTAAGATAACATACCCTTGGAATATCAGAGTAATCCCTTTTACTGGACCCCTCAGGGCACAACCCACCATACCAGAGCACCAAATTTCAGAACCCCTTATTGTTCTCTTGTTCTTAGAATACCATCTCTATGTGCTGTAAAATTTTGTTAACTATCCTGTTCCCACCCTATATAAAAGAAGCATGTGTCTCTCCATTTTACTTTTTATCCAGTACTAGAGATTTCCCTACTTTGCTTTTTCCCAATCCCTTAATCTACCACCAATAGATTTCATGTAACCCTTCTTCATCTCCTCCTTTGATTCTAATTTATAAAATAAGTTCAAAACTGCCATTCTCTGAGCATTTCCTTAATCCATTGAGATTTTGTTTCTTGGCAATTGTCCATTTGGCTCAAATAAACTCATTAAAGTTCTCTGCAGGTTTGGACATTTCTTATATTGATAATCCCTAATTTTGATGTGAATAAAATGTTGAATTTTGGGGGTGGGGAAAGGGGAGTTTTTAAATTTCTTGTTCAATTTCTCCTACTCCTTCCCTTACTCTTTTCCCTCTTCCTCCTCTTCTTTCTCTTTCTTCCTCTTAAAATATTTACCATTATTTTGGGCTATGGAGAATGTTGTCATCCAGAAGAAAGTAATTTCACTTCAGTTAAATCTCACATGTTTGCAATCATCCTTCACACACCTAATAGTTTGCATAGAAATGAGGTCTTCAGGGGTTTCTTGATTTTTCAGAGTCAAGAGTTTTCTATTTTAAAGATTTATCCCTTTCTGGAAAGATTTTTTTTTTAACCATAAAAGTGTGTACAAGTAGACTATTACAAAAATACTTGAAGTCTTTGGATAAGTTTTAAAGGAGGGTACTCCATCTTTTCTGGTTTCTGTTAGATACCCACATTTTCAACATTTGAAACAGTTGGAAGTCTTTTTATATATTGCACTTTTCCTGGCTTTTTCCATTTGTAACATTTACCTTGTGGAAATGACAAAAAAGCTACTACTAAAAGATAGTAGTTAGTTGCAAGTGATTGGTGAATCACTTCAGGTTAGGTGACTTTGTTTCTTAGGCATGACAAATCAGCAACCCCTCTAAGTAGGTGCTGGAATTTAGGAAACAAATAAAAACAGAAGGTAAAATGGTGATGGTCTATACAAGGACTCCCAAGTTTGCTTCTCAAAATAAATGAAGATAGAATTTCTTAGCATACAGATGAGAACTTTCTAACATACCATATACTCGAATGCATAAAACTCCATATTAAGAAACAGATTTCAGGGGGTGGCTGGATGGCTCAGTTGGTTAGAGTGTGTGCTCTTAATGAAAAGGTTGCCAGTTTGACTCCCTCATGAAATAGTGGGCTGTGCCCCCGCAACTAGATTGAAAATGGCGACCAGACTTGGAGCTAAGCTGTACCCTCCACAACTAAGATTGAAGGACAACAACTTGACTTGGAGCTGATGGGTCATGGGAAAAACACACTGTTCCCCAAAAAACGTTAAAAATTTTTTTTAAAATAGAAAAGAAACAGGTTTCACAGTTTCAGAGATTTGGTTTGTTTGTGTGCTGTATTTATCTGAAATAAATATCCAAAATGAAAACCCAACTCTCTGGTGTTCATCTTACCTCAGTAATATGCTAATTTCATCCTCATGGCATGTAAGAGTTAATGTCATAAATTGGCACTAACTTACTAGTAGAGATGCTTAGAAAAAAAATGGTTCAGTGTTTTCCTTAACTGACTATGTTTGCGGGATAAAAATCAACAGACTATGAATCAAGAGTTGCCAGGAAGATCAGTGTTTTCCATTAGTACTTATACCATTTATTGACTATGTATTTCCCTTAGGACATTTCTACTTTGAAAAACCAATGCAGTTTCTGAAAAAATGTTAGTAACAGAAGCTACTGCTTTGGCTTCCTATGTTGGCAAAAACAAATTGCCTGATTTCTACATTGGCGATCCATTTTATTTTCTTTATTACATATTGAATAAGAGGGGGCTGCTCAACTGCAAACTATTCAAATACATTTCTTTTTGCACTGATAAATTCTTCCAACTTTTCCAGAGTTGAAAAATGTGGTATGGCTCTTTCTACATTTTCAAAGCTGGTGTTTGGTTTTTCATCCTGGGTAAATAATCATGACTCTTCATGGTATTCCTAGTGCATCACATATGTTGTGCATTTTACAGGTTTCAAAGCTCTTTCATATATTATTTCACATTCAATATACAACAGTTCTACAAGACATCACCTTAATGATGAGGCTCAGAAACTTTCAATGGGTTTTTTGTAGTCACAAAGATAGGATATGGTGGAGCCAGGATCAGAACTTAAGTTTTCAGGTTTGAGCTAGGAAACTCCATTCTAATATGAGTTCGGAGCATAATTGCTTTTGGCCAGTGCATATGATAGAAATTATATATTTGCAATTTAGGCTGTGGTGGTACCAGGTAGCTCTTCTCATTTTTATCACTATGACCTCTTGATAGAAAGGTATCACATTGCTATTCTTTCCTCTGATTTCCTTAATAATTAATCTAATTTTCGAACAAGAATATTAAGACCTGACCTAAATATTATAATTAACACATTGAAAATATATATCAACATCACCCACTTTATGTCCCTTTTCCAGTGTGGATACTCATGAATGTAATTTAATGTTAATTTCAAAATAGTGAATTTTATTTTTTGCCGTTTCTATGACTGAGTTTACACAATTGTATTTAGTCAAAGAGTGGGCCATCTCCTAAAAGTTCTCTCTGGCAAAGGAAGAACACTAATCATTACTGTGTCAGTAGTGAGAGAGGAGAGTTTTGATTGTTTATGTCATCTCTTGCCCAGCAGAACTCAATGCACAGCTTCAACTCAGAGCTGATGATTTTGTATGGCCATGAATGGTGCTGCCATGAAGTATGATGCTAGGAGTAGCAAGGAAATGTTTAAGGAAAATGATATTTCTACTGATTCTTGCATTTCTTAAGACATATCCCTTTAACCTATTTCTGTCTTTTGCTCTTCTCCATATACAAATAAGTCCTGATATCTTCTCATTAATATTGGCATTTTAGAGCTACTTGACAGAGCCTGTAGTCAAAACAGTATGTTTCCATTTCTTAAACCTGGAAGAAACTCAAGAAATGGCTTTCTCTTCTCAATGCTTTTGCAGTTTCAAGCCTGTTAGGTATAAAGTAATGAATCATGTCTTAGATTTTTTTTTAATTGCACATGTGATAATGCAAATTTTACTTTTTTCTCCACAGAGCCCCATGTATTAACTGATTTGAGCATATTTCCTTTTTTTGGTAATATGTATGATTAGGAAAAAAGAAAAAAAGGAAAGTCAATAGTAAAAAATAACGTGTTAATTTTAATGGAAGCACTTACATTGTACCTAATAATGTTTGGAGTCTTGGAATCTGATAATGTTCTCAAGAAAATGCAAAATATTGAATACATACAATTTTAGAAACACATTTCACATTAGTCCTCTATGTCTGTGTGAAATGAAAATGAAAATGTGTTAGATATTGATCCCTCTTGGAACCTTGGGAAATTTCATTTTCCTTTGTCCTTTTAGGTGGCCATCTTTGTGCTACAACTGGGCAGTGCTACATTCCTGCTTACAGAGCCTGTGATCAGTGCGATGACAACTGGGGCTGCCACCCACGTTGTGACCTCACAAGTCAAGTATCTCTTGGGAATTAAAATGCCCTATATATCTGGACCACTTGGATTCTTTTACGTAAGTTTTTCATATGTCTTTGTTCATATATTGTGTGTGTGTGTCTCACAAAGTAGAATTTGGTTAATTATAATATTGAGATATTTCTATATTAAAGCAACTTGGGTTTAAATACAATCTCTTAGTATTTTTTCAATATTTTTATTAAAATATAGCTAATATACAATATTGTATTTGTTTCAAGTGTACAGCATAGTGATTCAACAGTACCCACCTGGCACTGTACATAGTCATTACCATATTATTGATTATATTCCCTATACTTTACATCCCTGTGACTATTTTATAACTACCAATTTGCATTTCTTAATTCCTTCACTTTTTTTACCTTGCCCCAACTTCCCTCCCATGTATCACTCTGATAGATCTAGTACCCACCTGACCCCATACATAGTTATTGCAATATTATTGACTATATTCCTTATGCTATACCTTATATCCCCATGACTACTGTGTAACAACCAATTTGTACTTCTTAATCCCTTCCCATTTTTTCACCCGTTCCCAACCCCTGCCCATCTGTCAACCATCAAAATGTTCTCTGTATTTATGAGTTTGTTTCTCTTTCATTTGTTTATTTTGTTCTTTAGATTCCACTTATAAGTGAAATCATATTACATTTGTCTTTCACTGTGTGACTTACTATACGTATTCAACAAAATACCCTCTAGGTCCATTCATGCTGTTGCAGAAGGCAAGATTGCATCTTTTTTTGGCTGAGTAATATTCCATTGTGTATATGTACCACCTCTTCTTTATCCATTTATTAACCATTTAGGGACACACAGGTTGCCTTCATATCTTGGCATTTGTAAATAATACTGCAATGAACATATGGATGGGCACATCCCATCAAAATAGCATTTTGGGTTCTTTGGATAAATACCCAGCAATGGGATTACTAGGTCATTTTTTGTCTGTTGTTACAGTCTTTGTTTTAAAGTCCATTTTGTCTGTTATAAGTATGGCTACCCCAGCTTTTGTTTATTTGTTTGTTTCTGTTTTAACAAAATATCCTTTTCCATCCCTTTACTTTCAGTCTGTGTATGTTTTTTGATCTGGTGTTTTATTTTTGGAAGCAGTGTCTGTTCAGGTCCTCTGCCCATTTTTTAAATTGGATTCTTTTTAATGTATTGTTGTATTTTTGTTGTTGTTGTTGAGTTGTATGAGTTTTTTATATATTTTGGGTATTAGCCCCTTATCTCTGTGCTTCCTGGGCTTGTATATCTATTTCCTTCACCAGGTTAGGGAAGTTTTCCATCATTATTTCTTCAAATAGGTTTTCAATTTCTTGCACTCTCTCTTCTCTTTCAAGTACCCCTATAATGTGAATGTTGAGATGCTTGATGTTGTCCAGAAGCCCTTTAGACTTCATTTTTTTGGATTCCTTTTGCTGTTTCAGTTGGGTGTTTTGTGCTACCTTATTAAATCACTGATTCAATCCTCTGCTTCATCTAATCTACTGTTGATTTCCTGTAATGTATTCTTCATTTCTGTTATTGTATTCTTTCTTTTTTACTGTTTTTTATGATTTCTGTCTCCATGTTTATGTTTCCTATTTCTTGAAGTTCTCCCTGAGATCACTGAGCGTCCTTATATCTAGTATTTGGAACTCTGCATCTGGTAGATTGCTTTGCTTGTCTCCATTTTGTTTAGTACTTTTTCTGGAGCTTTGTTGTTTTCTTTTATTTGGGACATGTTTCTTTATGTCCCCATTTTGGCTGCTTCCCTGTATTTGTTTCTATATATTAGGTAGGGCTTCTATGTCTCCCAGTCTTAGTAGAGTGGCCTTATGTAGTAGGTGTACTGTGGGGCTCAGTGGCACAGCCTTCCTGGTCACCTGAGCTGCACACTCCAGTTGTGTCCTTTGTGTGGGTTTTATGTGCTTTCTTCTTGTATTTGAGCCTTGTTTGCTGTTTGCACATCAATGGGAGGGAGACCCTTGGGCTCACTGGTTGTGAGAACTGGCTGTGACTACAGTGGAGGAGTTGTGGTACAGGGGATAATGCTACAGTGTAGGACCTGCCTCAGCATGGCTCTGGTGCCTGCCCAATCCACCTTTTGGGTGTATTACCCTTGGCAGCAGCTGGGTGATGCTGCAGCTCATTTCAAAGCTGGCCACTAAGCATGCCAGACCCAGGGCCATCTGGGAGAGAACATGCTGCAGGTTCAGCCACAGCTCATGTTCCACTTGGGGTCACCTGGCAGGAGCCACAAAGTAATACACAGGTGGCCACCACTTGTGCCATGTTTGGAAGTGCCACAAGAAGCCAACTCATAAAGCAGGCTAGCTGCCACTAGTGCTGGGCTTAGAGCGACTTGGCCAGATGTATATGGTATGCTCAAGCCAGATGCTGCTTGTCTGAGTTCCATGAACCTTTGAGAGGCCCTAGGAAAGTGTGCAGCATGAGCCAAGGCAGGCGGTTTGTATGAAAAAGCCACTGGAAGCTGCTTGGGTGTCCCTGGAATTTAGGTAGGGTGGGTCTCAGAATCACTGGGGCATGGCAAATGAATGATGTCAGCCAGCTTGATGGAGACTCATATATGGGGACCACCTGTGTCTGCATGCTGGGAAAGGGAAGGGCTCAACACCGAAACAATGGCTCCTGACAGCTCCTCTCTCTGAAAGAAAGCTGCCTCTCCAGAACTTGTACTGGATCCAGACAACTCATTTCCATTTTCCCCATTCTGTATATCCCTGTTGCCTCTCTAGCTACTGTCACAGCACTGGAGCTCAGAGCCAGTGACTGTATCAGTGAGTAAGTCCATGTGCAGTCCCTTTGAGAGGAGCACCTGGGACTCCAGCTAACTTCCATCTAACTCAGCTACAAATCTCTGCTGGTTTTCACAACCAGAAATTATGGGAACTTCTCTCCTTGGCACTGGAACCCAGGGCTTGGGAGCCTGGTGTGGTTCTGGGACCCTTTGCTCCTTTGGGAGTGACCTCCACAGCTGAGATATCCCTCCTGATTTTTAATGGTCACATATGGGTGTGGAACCAGCTAGTTCAGTGTCTCTGCCCCTTCTACCAGTCTCCAGGTGGCTTATTCTCTTTGTCCTTAGTTATAGGGCTGTGGTTGAGCAAGATTTGAGGTGATTCTCGATGATGGTTGTTTTGTAGTTTAGTTGTAATTTTGATGTGGTCATGGGAGAAGGTAAGCACAGCATTTACCTACTCTGCCACCTTAACTATAACCCTCTTAGGATATTTTAAATGTGGCTTAGGATATTAAACTAGTTTAATGAACAATATCTATCAATTTTGGAAGCAATTCTTTACAATAAACAATTGAATATGATATAATTTGGGGGCATGCTTAGAAAAAAATAACTTGAATTGATTTGTGAGCCAGATATGTTGCCAACTTCTACTGAAAGCCATCTACTGGGATTGCAGCTGAGTTTAACAACAGTATATTCAACCACATTTTTTCAGTATTGTGAACCGTGGTAGGGATCAAATCACAGGCCTGGTCAAAATTGGTGACTGGAGCCCCAGTAGCAGATAATCAGTTAGTAAAAGCCACTTGAACCCGAGAGAGAAAGATGTGGCCAGTTTCAACATATTATCCTCATAGTAGTGTATTGTTCTTGATCATTTTTTGAAGCTGACCTAAAATCTATGACTTCTCAGAAAGTCACTCCTGTTGGAGCTTTATAAGAAAATTGACATCTTGTTAATGAAGTTGAAAACTACTAAACTTCATAATCTTTAATTTTATGTTGTAGAGGAGGAAAAAATATTTTTCTTCTACTCCTCTAGGTTCTCAGCTCTAGCCCTTATAACAAAAACAACAAAAGATTAACAAAAGAAAAACAAACATATTTATTAATGTGTATATCTCATATACACATAGGAGAAATTCAGGGATGAATAACTCAAAAGACGTGGCTAGAACTTGGGCTTAAATACCATCTTTTCTAAAACAAAGGAAGAAGGGTATAGGATAGGAAAGTTATGGGAAGGTGCCCAGGAAAACTACAGTCAACAAGGGTAAGGTTGTTATGCAGATTTAAGTTGGTGACTTCTCCGTTGATGAGAGTCTCTTGTAATTTTGTTATCCTTTTCTTCCTGGTACAGAGAGGGAGACCCTTACAAATGGAGACTTCCTTTATAAATGTAAATTTCCCTTATAAAAAGGTAATTTATACTCTGTTTCCAAAGCTTACTTGTGTATCTCAGTGTAAAAAATTGTGGTGTTCTGAGCATCAGATTAAGAAATAACTTTTGGGGCTGGCTGAGTGGCACGTTGGTTAAGAACTGGCTTGGGACACCAGCTCTGAGCAGCAGGGCTCCGGTTCAGATCTCACATGGGGGCCAGTGACACTGCCCTCTACAGCTAAGATGGTGAACAACAGCTAGACCTGGAGCTGGGCTGCCGTGAGTCCCCGGCGATGGCGTAGACTGCAGCCCCTGCTGCAGTGGGCTGCCATAAGCTACCATGTGTGGCTGGCAGCTAGCGTGAGTGGCTGGCAGCTGGTGTGAGCTGCCCAGAGCCACCATGAGCGGCCGTCCAGAGGCTAGTGACTGATCTGTCTCACCAGGGAAAAGCGCAATGATAACACCAACATGGGCCAATGAAGCAACGTCCTCCACAACTAGATTGAAGAACAAAAACGACAGCAACTTGTCTGTTCCCCTTCCCCTGATTCCCCAGTGCTGTTCCCCTCCCCCAATTCCCCAAAAAAAAAACTTAAAAAAAAAGAAATAACTTTTGCATCATGCACAGCTTACACTGGAACATTTGGAAAGTGAACTTTGGTATAGAATCTGATGATGATAATGTAAATCTGAACTTGCCCTTGGATCATTTAGGTGGAATGTAAACTAGCAGAGTTGAGCTCAGCACAGAGGTATGAAACAGAGAACAAAATAGAAATTTGCATATAATGATGTAAAAAATAATGAGGTGTGTTTTTTCTTATTTTGGTGTTTTGTGTGTACTCAAGAAAACACAGGCTGGGGGCTGGCTGAGTGGCTCAGTTGGTTAAGAGTTAGC